ACGTCTTCTCATAACATCGTCTGTGGATGCACATATCATCAGGTTTGACTATGGTATGGCCTACGGGGGAAGTATATTTAAATCTGAAAGTCCGAAAAAAAAACAAATCTACAGACAACATCAAAAAGACGGATTCTGTTTGATATTTGTCACGGCAATACACATGAGTGTACGCGGTTCGTTCAAATTTGATGACTTGACAAGCCGCGAACTGGTCAAGATATACGGATGAGAAGTGCCTTTTTGCTAAATGGGGCTGTGTGCCAAAGCCATACCAAGCCCACACAGCCAAGGGTCTGAAGCCATAATAGCTGGAGACAAACTGTCTCACACACACTCAAGTCGGCATCAAAGGTTGGGAGGTCCCAATGAGTTCGAAAGTAGTTCAGTGGTAGCCTGAGGACGCAACATACTACTCACAAGCACCAACGGCACACAACGCGTGTACAACCTGATTGACTAAGGAACTCCAATAGCTCATTTTCAAGGCAAATTAGTATCCGAACATTGATATAGACACCGTAGGTTAGAAGCAGTGTTATATTCGATTTAACAAATCCACCAGCTGAAATACAGTGTTCCGAATGATCATTCCTCATTGTCAGATTATTTTCAGATACTTCCTGCCCATTCCGTACTGGTTGAAACCACACGAATTGATGGAACAGTCAGCCATTTCCGTTCCTCAGTTCACTAAGCACACGTTAACTGAGTGTCACCCACTTAGCCCGTTTCTGACTCTCTTGTTTTGGGTTGGACAGCGTTCTACCCGAACCCTTGTAAAAAATAGGGAAATTGTCGGTTGCCCACCGTCAGAGTAGAAGACTGTCACGAGTAGTGGCAAAGGCGGATTCACGCTAGAAGCTGCCCATTCAGTGGGTTAATGAACCTGCATCCAGCACTCTCTCCTCAGTCGTTTACTGTAGATGACGCAGATACAGAGTAATATATTGGGAGACTTTAGTCTACTCGTGAGTAGACAAAATAAACAACAAATGAAATGGAACTACCCACTGGTTAATAGCTGGAATGTCCGCAACGACGAATTACACAAGATAAACCAGCAATAGGAAATTGATCCCAAAAACTGGTGATTACAGCCGGTAAAGCAATCTCACCTGAAACTTTCTTTTCTTGAAAATGAGTCAGCAATTTCGGGTGCACATTTCATGTCCAACCATATTGGTCAACCATATTTGTTTACGTTGTGACAAATGAAAGTGTGTGATTGAATATGTGAAGAGGAGTAAACACTCGTTTGGCAGTGCCATTTCGAAATCGAGGCATAACTATGGCATTTTGTCTGCTGCCCTTCATTCTCACCCTCCTCCAGTATGTATCGCGCGAACAGTGCATTGCTTTTTGTATTGTGAACTGCGTCCAGTTGCACCAAATTCTACGTGCATTATTAAAATTCATCATCGATTAGGTGGCTTGCAAAATGTGATTGCTTTAGCGCTTAACAAGTCCAACAAGTTCTGTACGAATGCCAATCTTTTCGGGACTGGATCCACCATCAACATTCTGAGCGGAGTCCACTCAAGGTTTACATTTTCGAACAGATTCATTTACACATTTATGTATACGTACAGAATGGCTCAATATAGATTTCGTCCTTCAAGTAAAGCCGATCTATGCCTCAGAACTAAAAACCACCGTATAGCTGTTCCGCATTTATTTTGAATCATCAACAGTGTACGCCTTACGAATATCTAGGCAGATTCGAACTGGCAACCTTCAAGCTACCTGGCTAATAGCGACTGGCAATCAGAGTTGTTGACTCGTACTTTGACGGTATCTAGTGCTACTCACCCTTCAGCTAGAGAATCAGCATCACGTGGTCACGTGCTAACTGTCCTCGAGTGACAACCTCTCAGCCTGCCAGTTTATTCGTCGCACGAATTACTCCGCCGTCTTAGCTACTTAGAAGAAGAAGCATTAATCATTCAAACTTTCGGTTTTGCTATTATCAGGTGGAAAATACTTGAGAGAGTAGTCATCGTTTTCTAAAACTTTGGTGGAGGGATTGGAAATTTCAACCCTACCAAAGTACGCAGCATCCACTTTACACAACTATCTTGGCACCAGCTCATCCGCACATACGGCGCGAAAGTTCAAACGACGTTCAATAGGGATCATCTGTGGACCGAACCAGAAGAAATTGACCCTACCCTGGACCCAAACACATGTAGGTTTCCCCATCGGCCCAAGACTTCTTCACCCACCCTAACGCACAAAAATCCTTCGGCTGAACCCAACAGAGATTTAACTCGACTCATCTGATTGGTTCTCCTTCTACCTTAAATCTCGACCAAGCTCTGAACCCAATCACTTGGCCTGACGAAGCCTTTGTGTCAAAAGCGAAACGTTGCCCTGTAATAAACCTACCGATTGTCACCAAACTTTTTCGAAACCGGTTTTGCTATACTTTTCGACATGTAGCCACATGTCTCTCTGTGGGACTTCGTCCTGTAAGTGAAGTCAATCTATGCTGAAAAGCCGAAAAGCACTGTACAGCTGTTTCACCCTTATTGGGAATCATCACCAGTGCGCATCTCGCGAAACTCCGATGAGTCTCGAACCCGCGACCTCCCGGCTAGTAATTTGAACACTTAACCGTTCGGCCACGAGTGGCTGACCAGCAGTGTGATTAACTCGCACTTAGACAGGATATAGCGCCGCTCATCTTTCAATCACGGGATCCAAATCAAGCGGTCACACGTGTTGACTGCCTCCTCGAGCAACGACTTCTCAGACAGAAGTTCCACTCATCGGGTGAAGTTTTTTAATCTTCCACTGAGCTACTTATATTCTGTTGGTGGGAGCCTTGACGGAGGCAAACCGGAGTGCACAAGTGATCCAAGTTGCCAGCGTCAAACTGTATCATGTTTTGAAAAAAGCCTTCAAACGTCCATGATCATTGTCTCCCCTCTTTGTTGAGCACCTCTATGCACTTCCCAAAGATTGAAAGCAGGGACATCGTGACCCTATAGTCCAGCGGCCTGTTCTTACCCCCATATTCCACGGCAGCGAGATAATGCAGGTGAGTTGGTTTGATTGCATGGCGAAATTTTAGGTTCTGATGCCACAAGCAGCCGGTATGTGTTGATGGTATATCGCACTCGGTTGTGTGCACCACGTTGAAAGGTCGCCGAGTTGTGTTTTGAAAACAAATTACGTTGTATTTTAACCCCCACTGAAGCGCCGAAATCGGAGTTGCTGGAGGGTTTCTAGCAAAGACCTTCTCGTGGCGTTTTTCCCACTTAACTGAAAGGGAAAACCTGTGTCGGGCACCAAAACAGGCTGTGTGAACGATTATTTGCGTATCGATTTAGTTTGATGTGAGACACACGTGGAACCCAGATGAATCTCTCGTTTATAATTTTCTCAAGATTTTTCAGCACCCTCATGAGTAGTGTGCTACATCAAACACAGTAACTATTAAACTGAGAGCCAATATCTGTGCCGAAATTCGTGTATACTTCCATACCAACGGTGGGGACCCATCGGTAGTATAGGAAACTTTTGATTCCGACATCAAGCATTCGAAAATTTCCCAACCGGACTGTTAGGCTGAAGTCGAGCTGTTAGTGTAACGCAGGTTGGTGTAAAATGTCGTCTCCATAAGCTATCGCATCGACAGCATTTGCGTTATCTGTCGATTTACCTGGAGGGGATATTCTTTTCCAATCCACCTTTGTGCTTTCTTCCCCTCTAATAAGACCTTCTTATTTTATCGGCCGGTGATGTACCTTCACCTATGTCGCTAGTAAGGATTATTTCAAATTACTCATTTGAAACTTACTTCATCTATCAGGATATCACTTTGATTGTACGTCAGATTTTCCCAAGGAGTCTGTGATTCGGTGGAAGCACCTAGGCGTCCAGGACTTTATTACTGTAAACCTCAAAACATAACATAATTTTTAAAAGTTGAGACGGTGGTCGAAGAAATTGCCCCATGCTTTCAAGGTACTTTGAGCATATTATTTGTAAAGTGGATGGACCAAATCCACTGTTTTAGAACAGCTTTACATAAGATGATGGTAGACAGTGTCGTTTTAGTTTGGAAAAAACGGAAGGCCGAGGTTCCGAAATTCTATGAGTTTCGTGAGATGTACATTGTTGTTGATTCCCAGCAAGAATGAAACAGCTGTACAGCATGTGTAGGCTTCGCTAACAGAATGAAATGTCTGGTGAATATTATCAAAACTCAGTTCACCAGGTGAACAAATGAGAAGCTCAGAGATGGATAATTTCACTGGGAATGTGAAACGTCCATTTGAGAAGTCGCTATTCGGAGGGGTTGATCAATACGCGACCACGTGATATGTTCTACGTGATTGAAGAATGAGTGGCTAAATGAAACCTAACCACGCTGCTGGTCATCCAGTTGTATCCCAACGGTTACGTGTTCCATCACTTGTCGGAATGTCACGGTTTCAAAACCATCTGAGTTGAGAAAGATGCGCACCGCTGATGAAACAGCTGTACAGTGCTTCTCGGGTAGTCAACACAGATGGACTTCACGCATAGGACAAAGTCTAAATACAGTAATTCACCCAATATCTGTAATGGCGAGTACACAACAGATACGATTCTTACGGATTTGTAATTGAAGTCTATCTCACGAGCGGGTAGGTCAGTTCACACAATATTGATTCAAAGCGCGGCCTGCACAGCAAGACGAATTAAACAAGAAACAATAAATCAGCAGCTTCATATCGAATTACACCTTTCGAAGCATGAGTTCACAAATGAGGCTGGTAGGTGTGCATTCGACGTCAGTGTCCCCAAACTATGCCACTGCTGATTCTGTCCGGCTCAATAAATCCCACGTTTCTGCGCACAAATCAAAATTGGAACAGACAGTTTTCAGGCTCTCATTCGAAATAAAAAGTATTTGATTCGGCTTGTAGGTGCGCAGAAATCGATATGCTTGTCTTGGTAGAAGTATATACGTTATCGCGCAATGTGAACGTAGACGAACACAGAATCAAACAGTTTAAACGATGGTGAATGAACATCATGGACCTATAATCATACAACCAAAGCAGGTGCCATTCAGAGATTGGCATGACGGGTTGTACGGGTGTCGGAATGACTGGAAAACATGTAAGTTCAGACAGCAGTTTAGAAAGAGTATCCACTGAGACTGAACACTCTACCAGCCGCATCCTATTAAAATGAGAGTTTACTCATTAGGCTAAAATCAAATACCCATCTGGATCTTCTAGCCTTCACCATTGACAGCAGAAGAGAGACAGACGAAAAGTTCTAAAACGTTGTTCCTGTATGCTAAGCAACCAAAATAAAGCGTTAAGTGTATAATGTGTCTGCTGGTTTCCTATGGATTAGTTTGTGATGAACTCAACGTCCAGGCCATGAAATCTGAGGTGAACGGTTGAAAACTGTTGCCTCACAGAAGCGTAAACTGCAGGGGATTTAAACCTGCTCTTGAATACGAATGTAACTGTTCTTCACTAAGAATTTGACGTCCATCATCCGGTAGGCTTACAGCCAATTTGCCCGAAGGTCACTGTGCACTGAGATTACTTTGTAGGCCACCAGCATCAGTTGCCCAAACAAACGGTGAATTATCACCCCAAAAGATTGCTCACCTTCTTCCAGGTGGATATATTTGGTGGTATCACATGATATCATCCGATTATGTGGCAGAAGAATACAAGCGGAATTGATTTCCTGAAGTTTACATCACGTATGCCCACTCATCACAAAATTTTATGCATAGGTGTGACGAGCAGCTAGTTGGTTAGAACGTCTCTCTAGTCAACAGGTATTCGGTGGTTCGATTGCCTCCCCATGAGCGTCATTTATTTAGATGTTGTTTGCATAAACTTCTCATTTCAGTAAGATTTTTTCGAATCCAGCGAAGCTTAATGGGACACTTCAGGTAGGAGTAGTCGAATCCGTACCATATTACAACAGTGCCACCGTAATTCTTTCAAAAAACGCAGAAGAATACACGCAAAATTCAAATTGCACTGGGAAATTGCTGTTGATTAATATGTCACGAGGGACACTGTTACTGTCCTTCCATGAGGGGAATTGACATCAAGGCGTGACCCTCTGAAAGACACTTCAGGTAGGAGTAGTCGAATCCGTGCCACATTACAACAGTGCCACCGTAATTCTTTCAAAAAACGCAGAAGAATACACGCAAAATTCAAATTGCACTGGGAAATTGCTGTTGATTAATATGTCACGAGGGACACTGTTACTGTCCTTCCATGAGAGGAATTGACATCAACGCGTGACCCTCTGAAATGAACGGTGGGATCCTAGTCATGGAAACATCTAAAATCGGGCAGATTATCTAAATGGCGATCGCACAACAACCTGTTTCGAAGGAAAAGGAACGGCACCAAAGTACGAACTTTTATCGTTTCTATTCAAAAGACAATTTTGGACTAAGTCATTTATCAGATTTGGTATTTTCCAAAATGGAATTCCTACAGTGCTTCTCCGCTCTCCAGCAACATACACTGGCCTCACTTGCTGTACGAAAAATATACGCTACGTTCCCAAGTCTTTACCCACCACCAACAGTACGAATGTATCCGGACAAAAAAACTGTGCTGGAGTGTGACAGTTCGTCTGAGAAATACATCCTGGTGATATGGCCAAAACCGAGACTTCAACAGAGGTTAAAAGCAGTGTGCGCCTTGTCTGTACAACACGTTAGCCTCCTACTTGCAAATTCTGCAATCGAATCGCTGTTGAACGGGGTATATAAATTAAGAAGCCATTTTTGTCAACCTCTTGTTAGGCGTTCTGTTTTAAAGACCTTCGTTGAGCGGATTCTACTGTTTTCAAGTCCAAAGATATCCTCCACGTGTGCGAATTTCTCGATCAGCGGTCTTAAATTTTGGGTCTGAAGTTTCCTGATAATCAGGTATGCTAAAGATAAGTCCAAAAGATATCCCAACTCAACTCTGTCTTCTTTCCGATGGANGTTACTGGAGTTCGCGGTAAGCATAACTTGCCAGTCGGCTGTACGCCGTCATAAACATAGTCTTGGTGACCGGTAAGTTCGAGATAGCCAAGTTATTAAGAATTGAATTTTCCAACAGGAAGTTCCACGGTTCGAACACAAGCTCAGCTTCTGCCTAGGCACATGTTCCCTAACAGTATCTCAGGCCTCGTGCTTCCTTCAGGTAGCGTGACACCTGGGTATTATTCGAGCCACCTTTATTTATTTACTTTAGTACATAANAAATGAACGGTGGGATCCTAGTCATGGAAACATCTAAAATCGGGCAGATTATCTAAATGGCGATCGTACAGCAACCTGTTTCGAAGGAAAAGGAACGGCACCAAAGTACGAACTTTCATCGTTACTATTCGAAAGACAATTTTGGACTAAGTCATTTGCCAGATTTGGTATTTTCCAAAACGGAATTCCTACAGTGCTTCTCCGCTCTCCAGCAACATACACTGGCCTCGCTTGCTGGAAAAAAATATGCGTTACGTTCCCAAGTCTTCTGTCACTACCAACAGTACGAATGTATCCGGACAGAAAAATTCTGGTGGAGTGTGACAGTTCGTCTGAGAAATACATCCTGGTGACATGGCCAGAACCGAGACTTGAACAGAGATTAAAAGCAGTGTGTCCTTTATCTGTACAACACGTTAGCCTTCTACTTACAAATTCTGCAGTCGAATCGCTTTTGAAAGGGGTATTTAAATTAACAAGCCATTTCTGTCAACGTCTTGTTAAGCGTTCTGTTTTAAAGACGTTCGTTGAGCGGATTCTACTGTTTTCAAGTCCAAAGATATACTCCATGTGTGCGAATTTCTCGACCAGCGGTCTTAAATTTTGGCTCTGAAGTTTCCTGATAATCAGGTATGCTAAAGATAAGTCCAAAAGATATCCCAACTCACCTCTGTCTTCTTTCCGATGGATTTATTTGTCGAAGCTGAATTTGATGCTGGATGCATAAATTAGTGAATTGTTACTGCAGTTCGCGGTAAGAATAACTTGTCAACCGGCTGTACGCCACCATAAACATAGTCTTGGTGACCGGTAAGCTCGAGATAGCCAAGTGATTAAAAAGTGAATTTGACAACAGGAAGTTCCGCGGTTCGAACACAAGCTCAGCTTCTGTCTAGGCACATGTACCCTAACCGTATCTCAGGCCTCGTGCTTCCTTCATTTATCTTGACACCTGTAAATTATTTGAGTAGTCTTGGTGACCGGTAAGTTCGAGATAGCCAAGTTATTAAGAATTGAATTTTCCAACAGGAAGTTCCACGGTTCGAACACAAGCTCAGCTTCTGCCTAGGCACATGTACCCTAACAGTATCTCAGGCCTCGTGCTTCCTTCAGGTAGCGTGACACCTGGGTATTATTCGAGCCACCTTTATTTATTTACTTTAGTACATAACGACTGAAGGAAACGTGTGGCGACTTTGGGCCTCGTTCGAACAGTTGCCCTCCCGTGTTGACGTAATTATTCTTGTGAGTTCACACCAGAGGAGGAGAAGCAATGGACTCGAGTTTTGCTCTCATTGTAGCTAATCAGCAGCATGAATCCTATGAGAAACCCTGACAGGCGCGTCAATCATTCCTCACAACCAGGTCAATCACTACTCTTCGTTCTAGAAGTCGGGTATATCAGTCACATCGCTCAAACGTAAACACATTCGCCTGTTCGACGCCTGTCCGGTGTGTGCTAGTAGAGTAGTGATAACAAGCTCGCCTCGCATGTCAAATGTACCGAGTTCAAACACCGACATGGCCGCTGATATGCACTGCTGCTAATAAGAGCAAAACTCGAGTTCACGCTCACCCCATTTAGTGCGGACTTGCCAGAATAATTATGCCAGGATAGGAGTACGACGTTCCAAGCAAGTAATGTGAACGTAAACAACACCAGTCCCACAACCCTCACAACAAAAATCTTTCGATCCTCATGTTTTTTTTGCCGAACCGAAATGTATCTTTGAAGGTCTGTAGACACCTCTTATATGACTGATGCTAGAAGGTTGATTAGATAGTTGAACGAAGATTGATACGGAGAATCGAACATGTTCAAAACATGCCTGAGGGCAGGCATGAGATATCTACCTTGGCAAAGCCGCATAGTTGATGCGTTGTTGTTTCAGTATCCTAAATCTGCTCAAATATACCAGCCTCTTCGGTCAATCCGGATAGCGCTGCTTCTGACAAAAATACTATGTGATCGTTGATCGGCGCCCGTGAATGGCGCGAGGTTACTCATCATCCCATTAGTGATATTGTCCAGTTAAGAATGATGATTAGAGCTGTGCTTGTTGATCGGATGTTTCGATTCGTCTTCTTTTCAAGAAGTAACTGAAAGCATCCACAAAACCATTTGGAAATAACCTCAAATGGGTTCTGTGTATATCCTCTGTAGAAACAGATCCAGCTGATCCGAAGCTAAGCAGTTCTTCAGATGAGCCGTTGGTGCTTCGTATCTTCTACGGCGGAGTTTCCAGTATTCTCATTTTGAAAATGAGTAGAGAATTGGTTGTTCCCGTGACCACAGTCAACCATCGAAATTCATTCAGCGATAATCGATCGCCATCATCGATCATGTGCATGGAGTAATCAGAAATGAGCATACTAATGGTAGTCTGAGGAGAATTAACAAAGATTTATTGATTTATTCATCCTGTCGAAGAAGCCAACTTATACTGGAAAACCGTAAGACACTGTACAGCTCTTTCACACGTATTGGAAATCAGAAGCAGCTCACATCCCAAGAAAAAACGAAGAGTTTCGAACAAGTGATCTTCCGGCTAGTGGTTGAATACTTGATCGTTCGACCATGAGCGGCTGATCAGCGGCTCATCTTTCAATCACAAAACCACATCACGTGATCAAGTACTGACTAACTGGCTCCTCGAGTGCTGCCTTATCAGAGCGAAGTTCCACTCATTTCGTGCAGTCCTCCCCCCTTTGCCACACATAGACTGATGATAGTGTGAAAAGACTTGAGGTTTTGCTTTGTCTGTAACGCGGACGAGCGTTCAACAAATTGAATTAGGTCAGTTTCATATTACAATTAAGACCTCACTAGCTGAGCATGAAAACGATGGTCGTTGTTTCGTTATCGCCAGCGAAAACCACGACACTTTACCCGGCAAGTTTGCACCACAACCAGTGGGGTTATCGTGCCTTGCTTTTGCTAGAAAGGAAGTAATTTTAGTAACAGTGTAGAAATCGCCTTGTAGTTCATGACTTCTACGCGCACAAGGCCAATCTGCCAGTGCTGAAGGGGACTACATCACGACCTTCGGTTCAGATTGCTCAACAAACACAGAAAGCTTGCTTCACCTAAATGTCGAGTAACTGATGATGATGATGATGCCAGAAGCGGTGTGGTTGATCACGTTGAATGGGCCAGTGTCTGACCTGTTTACGTCTTCCTGGAAATGAACTCATATCCCTGCATTTGGAGATGATTCCATTTTTCCCTACTATTCGTCCCTATAAACCTGTGTAAAAGTCATCTGTCTTCGTACCCGCTTGAAGCAAATGGAAGACTGACATCGCCTGAAACATCACGTCCTCCTATGCTAACTGATTTTCCTGAATTTCCAACTGATGTAGGTCGGATAAGGATTTGTGCAAGGAGGAAAGGAAACCGCGAAAGCGTCTACGATAGACGCAACGACTAGGTGCGAATCAATCACACCACTGTTCGGTCGCTCGTGGCCGAGCGGTTGAGTGTTCAAACTTCAAGCCAGAAGGTCGCGGGTTCGAGGCTCTCCGGAGTTTCGTGAGAAGCGCACAGATGATGATTCCCAATGAAGATGAAACAGCTGTAAGGGCTTCTCGGCTTTTCAGCCTAGATTGACATTGTTGACAGGATGTATATGCATATGTATAGAGGCAACGTCCCATCCATTCTCATCCTTTCTTTTCAATTTGGCCGGACCATTTGTTAGTTCTACGAAACGCCGAACCATCAGGTGGCAGGTGGACTGGCGGTGTACGCTGACTACTGAACGGCCGTGGTTTTGTCGAATAAATCATGACCAGCAGCATATTTTCGATTTACCAGAACATGTTTCAAGGACACCCAGCAAGAAGCGAAATTTCAGGAACAGTAGGGAAACAGAACTATGACTGATATTACTCATAACATAGGGGATAGGTTCAAACGGAGATTCATCTTCCGTGAAGTGCGAACAGCGCAGCCATGTGCAACCGGACACGAAAATAAAACTCATTGGCACAAATCTTCATAAATTCTATTCCTAGGTGTATCCCTGAGTATAACTCGTTTTTCGATGTCACTTGATGAAACTAGGCAGACACTTTCATACCCTTCTAGTCAACTGTCAATTAGTTGCTTTCAACCACGAAGAGATACTACTAACAGGCTATATCAAAATTATACGGTGTTGGGCCAGCATCAGCTGGCCCGGATTAAGCGTTGTGATCTTTCAAGTAACTGAAAAAACCTGTCAAATTCACGGTTAGTATAGTGGTAACAAATGACTGTTTTTCTCTGTGATCGGTTCGCTTTACTGGGAACATCAGGAATTTTTATGACATTCGTCAGAAATAAGCTGCAGACATGAAAGAATTCAATGAGAATTTTGTGAACAGACGCAATTAATGCTCACAGTGTCTGTAACTCAATTGAATTAACTACACATTGTGACATACCAGAGCGAAGATTTGTTGTAACCAACTATCGTATAGGTCCATTATTTTGAGGTCAACGTGTTAAAGTCTCCTAATTTAGAGAGGAAAGATACATATTTTGGAGTGTTGTACTACTGACTACCGAAGGGAACTGTTTTTTTCAATACGCGACAAAGATCTGTGCGAAGGCTGTACAGCATGCAGTGACTGCACCTGAAGGATAAACCTTTCGTAAAATTCCATAATTCCGTACTACCTCGAGTAGCTAAGCGGCTTCCATTGGGGAATAAACAGCTCGCAAGTTGCAGGGGCCCTCCAGTTGAGAATTGGGCACCTAAAGAGACCTTTAAAACGTGGTCTTGTGATGTGAACTCGGTTGGTAAAGAATAAGTAGCTCCATATCCTGTCGAATTGAGAGTTAATCATGCTGCTAACCAGCCACTCATAGCCGAAAGATAATCACTCATCTATTGGCCACTAAGAATGTGAGTTATCCCTCTCTATCTTTCTCTCTCTCTCTCTCTACATCACTGGCGATCTTCTATAAGGACAAAATACTTCTCGGTTTTTCGGTATTGATCAACGTCATCTCAAGGGGATACGCTTCCTGTTGAACCCTTGTTATCCAGAGCTAATAAAAGTTAAGGATAGGTTCATACACTCAGGAGTAAAGTTAAAAAGAAATTAGTTCTAAATAAAACTCTTAGACAAATAGGCAAACAGACATGTTCATCAAGTAGGTGGTCAAATACTGAAGTATTGCCAAATGATATCGGACCATGTAACGGATACGATAGAAGAACAATAAAAATTCTGTGAGAGAACACGTGTGATTGTGACCATAATTATGGGATTTTGCGACAGATGTGATATAAAACGAGCCTAAGGAAGTTATGGATCGTCACAGGAAGTTTATGGGGGCTGGCTGATGTACCCCACCGGTGATGCACTCTTTGGACAACATTATTTGTAGTTAATCAATGAAAATAAAAGTGAAAACGGATCTTGCTTCCTATGGGTTACTGCGATGATATTATTTTGTGATACCTATAGGTCTGTCATTTCAAAGCAGGGCCGAATTGTTTGGATCTATATTTAAACTTGAGATAGGCTTGTAGATGCTGATACAGGGAAAACGCCTTTATAGACTGATCGGTTAGATAACAAGTCACGTGTTCTGTGGCATTCGACAGAGGAAGATGGCACGTGATGCAAACTCAAGTGTTTAGGAGACAAAGCACTATTATTGACTGAACATGCCAACAGAAATTTATTCATCTAATCGATCAATCTGTTTAAACATGATAACATTTTTAATATATCTGTCCTTTAATTGCAAATGTGTCCATTTCCAAATATTACTTCTTGAAAATCTGATTGACCAAACACATCTCGTCGAGCACGCTGAATAAAATATTTAGCGATATTTAGTGATATCGTACCGAATCGTGCCTCTTCCGTAAGAGATTGGTGCAACTTTTCAGTGTTTTGTGACATTTATGTCTCCTCTGTTCGCCTGTTCGATCTCAGACCCTGTATAATCAATAAAGCTTGGTTTTTTTAGTCTAAATAATGGATGTTTTTAAGATTCCGCCGACTGTCATTGTTGAACTTCTTGTGGCAAATCTATCGACTGCCCAAAGAATTCGACCGGATCGAACTGAACAGCTGTCGTGTATGTGTGGAAAACGTTATTTGTTGTCAAATTGCACATCCTATAAAGACAAGTGATTGATCACTTGTAGTTAGAATGACTGTTATGGAAATTCACTCACGGATTCCCCTCCTTTTTTGTTTAAATTTTAGGTCTATACGTAACATTCTGTACACCTTGTTACATCTGCCATATGTACGAGCGATACGGCGAATGTCTGTTTGGGAGCTTGATCACACCTGCCTCCATCATGATGCTTCGAACGTTTCATCGTGGACGTGAACGAATCTACGTAAGTCCGAGCAAACTATTCATACGTACCATAAATTCAACGTCGATCAGTTTCGTTACAGTCGCTCATAACACATCATTGTAACATTTTCCATCTAAAATAGGCACACGTGTGTTGTGATTTATGACAACCCACGTGCAGCGTACACGATGACCATAACCTCAAAGTGACGTCAGTCTATCTTAAAAATCCAACAAGGATTGTGCATTCGTTCATTCTCTGCGGCAGTACCAACGTCACTACCACCACCTAGTGTATGTGCGCGACAGGATTTGGCCGTATGCAATGGGCGTTACAGTGAAAAGGTAGCACTGATAACTTTTCGATTAACGAATGTGTTTAGGGATATTCTACCCTTTGCTAGCATGTCATAGACATTCGGAAGGCTTTATTGGATAGCAATAGACAAACAGACGGCAGACTGACTTACTGACTTACAGACTGACAGACGGACGAACACACAAATGGAGATAGATAGATAGATAGATAGATAGATAGATAGATAGATAGATAGATAGATAGATAGATAGATAGATAGATAGATAGATAGATAGATAGATAGATAGATAGATAGATAGATAGATAGATAGATAGATAGATAGATAGATAGATAGATAGATAGATAGATAGATAGATAGATAGATAGATAGATAGATAGATAGATAGATAGATAGATAGATAGATAGATAGATAGATAGATAGATAGATAGATAGATAGATAGATAGATAGATAGATAGATAGATAGATAGATAGATAGATAGATAGATAGATAGATAGATAGATAGATAGATAGATAGATAGATAGATAGATAGATAGATAGATAGATAGATAGATAGATAGATAGATAGATAGATAGATAGATAGATAGATAGATAGATAGATAGATAGATAGATAGATAGATAGATTAGATAGATAGATAGATTGATAGATAGATAGATAGATAGATAGAAAAATAACTAGGTAGGTAGATGGGTTTCACAGAAAACCGCACGTCATGCCCAATTCCGAATAAGTCACCTGACCGCTGGTTTGCGCGCCAAGCTCAGCAGTCGGTTGAAAGAAGCCGTATCACGAGTGCCCAACAGAGGTAAGAAATAAAACCATATTTCGAATTTTGAATATGCTTACTCACCACGGCTTGACACGCTTGCCAAATGTTACATCATGTACTCTTCGAGAGCATGTCTTTGTGTTGTATGTATGATCATCGACCGCGGCGTCACATAATATCAACCGAGTCTTTACCCTAAATTTGTGCACTACCGGGATATACTTACTAGTATACTTAACAGCGATCACCTACATGTATCACCAAGTCTACCTGGGGATAAATGTTCAACATACTACTGCCCTCCACATTGCAATCATCCATTGATTGTGCACTGGCTCAAGAGCCGCTCTGTTTCACCAGTAAGCATCTAACCTTGTATTCATGAAGCAAAACGTACAACTCCCCCCCATAGAGGACTAAAAATGTCTGGTGAAATTGGCACCACTTCTACTTTACCGGGACCGCACTTTAGGAATTATGTACCAGGTTAGCCATGCAAACTTTGGTGGGCTGGGAAATAGTGCACTATTTTATTACAGTTCAAAAGAACGCATACATTTCGAGGCCGGCCGCACATAACGTCCATGGGAAAGTTGATTCAAAACAAACGTCTGAATCAGTTCACATTGGCACGTTTCAGCACATTTCGTTTCAGTGGATTCGTTTACTAAGTTCACCGGATTTTCATCCAATTATTTGTGCAAATGCTGTCGTAACGTCAAAAAGTCGCGCAATACCATAGTTTATAGACGATACATCCAAATTACCGTGATTCACAGATGTTGGTACATTTTGACAATTGGTATGCGCATTCTTCCATCGGATGTCTACACAACCTTACAGCACAGACAGCACAATCTGTACAGACGTTCAATACATCCAAATTACCGTGATTCACAGATGTTGGTACATTTTGACAATTGGTATGCGCATTCTTCCATCGGATGTCTACACAACCTTACAGCACGGACAGCACAATCTGTACTGACGTTCTGATCAATACATTAGCCGAAGGCAGCCCCTTTGGTCCATTTTCCAACTCTTTTAAACACACACAGCAAAAAGATCATGTAATCACGCCACTTTTTCATTCTTGGGTATCCAAGCAGCACAGTATATAATGGTTATAGTGGGCTTACGCTCAACGCTGGTTTGCGGTTTCTCGACTGTAAGTAACTAGCAGGTTTGGATGCAGTCACCGATCCCTGTCACAATGAAGATCAAGCTGTTTCTAACAATGTACTTGCAGATTTTGTGTTTGGTATCCGGCTTCAACAGTGGGTTTGATTCCCATAACTTCATTGGTAACCTTATGGATTCTGCCGTATCTCGAAAATATAAAGCGTTAAGTTGTTGCAAATGAACTTTGACGACTGTTGGTTGATCAATCAGACGTTCTTTTTTCGAGATTAGCAACTAGCTTGTGAAGGTTTCGTTCCTAGACAATAAGACACCGTCAGCGCACAGTTAACTAGACACTTTGCTTTGCCTGTCTTCATTTATCTTGTTTTCGAAGAGCATCTAATACCTTCCAATTTGATTGGCTAGATGGTATCTATCCTTCTTGCTATCTTGTTGCCCTGCTGGCGATCTGCCCTGCGTTGTGGTCTGCATATTTCGCATCCCATTGATTTGTTGCATTGCTCCTTCGGGGCTTCACGTATGGTTTCCGAGTTGAGTTACAGAATGGTCATCCTATCCCAGATTCGGCTGATCGTTGTGGATCTTCACAAAATTACACAAAAGTACAAGATTACATACTTGGGTGGTTCCCAAATTCGAGCATAACCCTATCGTAACCTCTCACTTTTGTGTTTTTCACTGATTCCACAGTGTGCACCACGAAGAAGGAGTACATAACAGAGGTTCAGCTGATATACTGTCACGAATGTTGTGTCAGTTTCTTTGAGTAATTACTAATAATCGAAAGGAAAAACTGTAGCAATGAGAATGACCTTCAGCTAGCCTAACACAGACACCAGAATCACCACACACGACATCAGTTAGTTACCATATCGTTCCGTGTCAGCAGCCGAGCACTGTGAGTGTCAAATGGATCTCATCCTGGAAGGCCAATGGAACCAACAACACCTGCATATTCTTAAGACACTTCTTTCCAGTTCGCCACGTCAAATCCACTCACATCTACGTTTCCACCACAACGAATAAAATACAGACTACAGATAGGAATTCGGTGTGCAGTAGCTCGGCATTTATAACACATGGCGGAGCCAAGTTAGATTTTAGTGTTGGATGCATCCTTTGAGCACTTTCTGTTAGCTAGAAACTCGTCTCCTAATCATCTTCCAACCTCGCTAGTCTCAGCCGATACCACTTACAGTTCTGAGAGATTGATACTCAAAGAACTAAAGGTGTCTCAGCTCTTCACCCAAATTGATGAATTTTCAGGGCCGAACGTTTATACAACCCGCACAAAAGTGCTTGCACTGTAATCTGATATACTGCTCATTTAAGACCCTATGATGTCGATTTTGACACCACAAATAGCACAAATTTACATACGCGTTTCTGGCAGTCGAGAAGCGTGATTTCACCTCTTCAAGGCCGATAGAACTCTGAAGACGCAGAGATTCCAATCTCACGGTGCCACCGCTTGAGTCCTTAGAGTCATGCCCAAAGACTGCACATCCAATAGCCTCACTTTGTACTTCCTAAACACAAATCCCAACCAAAGGACTGGATAAAATTTTGCCGACTTTTCTAGAAGGATTTATGCCTCCTACTCTTCTTCAGAAATGGGAACAATGTACTCCTTTAATTTCGCGTCGACAGGGTTCTTATTCAGAGAGATCTGAACATGGACTTTATTTGGACGTCTCTGAGTGTTCAGTTAAACTGATAACTCAACGCAGAAGAAATGCCACTTTCGAAATGATGCTGGTAAACTATTTTACCAGAGGCTTAAATGAATCTGGTTTCAAATTGAACCGGTCGAAAACTTTTCAATAACCTTATGAGTAGTATCCTCCATCAAGCAGGTATACACGTTTTGGTTTCCTAATGAATGAGGAAAATCGGCTTTTAAATCCCTTCAAATGGTAGAACATGTAAAAACCGATAACGGACTTTCAGTCTCAAAAGTAAACTTTGAATTGCATTTGCGAACGTTTTAAGAAATCCCATGCATTTATGTCTCATGTTCTCAACAACGGACCCTAGTGTTTGTTCAATACGCGATCCATACCAACTTTATTTGCCCATTTCAGGGGTCGCTATTCAAAGACTGTCTGCAAAGTATTCTATGCCCTTGGTGTGTGTTGTGTCAACTGGACCGAGATATGAAGTACGTGGAAGCTACCAAAGGCTATCTGGATGTCTAGGCAAATAAATATTTTTTTGAGATTAAACATCTTTCTTCAGTCGTTGTGTAACCTTTCTAGCGATTTTTTTTTTTCAAATACAAACTAGAAGGCTGTTTCGTGCATCTTTTGTTCTTTGCGTGGTTACCAAGTTGGGGATTCCAATTCCTCAAGTTAGTGGTAATTGCCGTTAGTTTGTGGAACAACTCACAAGTGTGATTCACAGGATTTTAAGACACACGAAGATGTTTAAGTTTACTACTATCATTGTTAAAATTAGAATTATGATATTCAATAGTAATAACGAACAACTGCACATAGTTCTTTGGAATATCGTCCGATTGCAGATGTGGAACACTTGAAGTGTTCCAGGCTGTCAGTGATCAAGCATTTACGCAAGCAAACTGCACTTTCGAATGCGGGCAGGCCACATTTTATCCGCAAATTCCACCTCTTTATTTATCATGCGATTGCAGTTCCTTACTACTGCTACTTCAGTAAATCCTAATAATTGCAGTCACAAACTACTGAAATCCCACAGCATTCAATTAAGCTAGTAGTGAACTTTTGGAACATGAAGTGGCAGTTCCAGGCTGTCAGTGATCAAGCATTTACGCAAGCAAACTGCACTTTCGAATGCGGGCAGGCCACATTTTATCCGCAAATTCCACCTCTTTATTTATCATGCGATTGCAGTTCCTTACTACTGCTACTTCAGTAAATCCTAATAATTGCAGTCACAAACTACTGAAATCCCACAGCATTCAATTAAGCTAGTAGTGAACTTTTGGAACATGAAGTGGCAGTTCAGCAGAAAGTGCTTAGATCACGCCCATCGGTGACCTTTGTATGGTGATTCGAGCGCGCCCGTTCATGCAATTCTACTGGAGGATATACACTTTGGAGGCACCATAGAGTCTCATTTGAAGGCGGCTTTCAGCGAAAACATTCAGTCCAACCAATTGTGATGTATAGACCAAGTGTTAAGCACACCTATTCATCATCTACTGAAATCCACACCGTTCTTGCTGCCTCCTTCAGAATGGCGTAAACTGCGAGCTGGACAAATCTTTACCTATCTTGTCGTCCCAGAAAGCCGCGATCAGGGGTTATGAGTTGAGCCGACATGAACCGGACTAATGAACCACCAGTGTAAAACAAACGTAATTCATGTGTAGTTGCTCATCCTTCGGTGGTCCTTCCACATCGCCAGTGGACATCTGTTCTGAAGGAATTTATCTATTTTATGGACAACATCCTGCTTATTATTTGTGATAGCATCAAAGCCTTTGTCTGGTTCCCATTCCACTTTACCTCTCTTGGGGTTTCTTAATGGCAGTGAGTTATAATTTTTGATGATATAAAACATGACTTGGCTGCTAAATGAATTCAACCATCAGAAAATTATAACGGTAGGTCAGAGTGCATCTTGAAAAAATGTGTGAAATTAGCTGCATTTTAAATGCTATTCACTAGCAAACAGAATAAAGGTTTCCTCATTTAGTGAGTTTCCCAGTGAGACCAGATATGAAGAGTTCACTGGCGTGCGTTTTTTGTCTACCATTCCGTGACCTGACGATCAAAAACCTGAGTACAACCCATTCTGTTACATCGTTATTTTTGTTCCCGAAGAATTTGACGTAAGATACCAGTCGAATCACGTCCTACCTTAATTTTTCCGAAGTCTTTTAGGTGAAATGTCGATCGGAAAAACTACTCTCGGCTTACAGTCATTTCTACCCTGCTCACCCCAATGTGGCTGATGAATGCGGTGATTAAAAGTACCCCAGCTATTCCGAAAATAGCCACTGGAAACCACTGAGTCCATTTCGATGGGGAGGAATTCATTCATGTAGTGACATCGGTATCTCCAGTGTCCTTATGTCCCGTTTCTAACAACAACTTTAAAAAAATTGGTGCCCCTCCAGAGACTTGCACTGGCTTCCCATGCGCTTTTCGGTTGTACTGTTTGGCTACTCTTTCCGTTGTTAGTAGCACGTTTGTAGTGCGGTAAACCCACTCCCACTGAAGATTTTTGACATGCTGAAACCGAACTTTCCCAAAGTACATGTCCACTACTCCTTCAATGACACAAAAATATGTATACTTCCTTCATTTGCTTGTTTTTGCTTGAAACGACATAGCAGAAATATGTGTTGATTTCATTTTTTTAAATTTGTTTGTGGAAACTTTGTGCCCTGGTGCCAGTCCCAGAAGTATTTTTCTGAGGAAGCCAGTATGCCAAGTGGTTCAGTTTTATATTCTGTGTTTTACCTCCAGCGTGTCCTTAACGAATTTCCGGTAAACCGATGCGATTTCCTCAGTCGCCTACATTTACTCCATCATATGATTTACACGTCCATCATTCGCGGAAATCCCCCCCCCCCCGTGATAGCTTTAGTTAGGGGCCTAAAGACGTTTTTGATGATGGCTTAATGTTTTCAATCGCTTACGTCATGTTTTATGGATCATTTCCCCGTGAAAACTAACCCCTGTCCATCATTCGCGGAAATCCCCCCCCCCCCGTGATAGCTTTAGTTAGGGGCCTAAAGACGTTTTTGATGATGGCTTAATGTTTTCAATCGCTTACGTCATGTTTTATGGATTATTTCCCCGTGAAAACTAACCCCTGTAAAACCACTCATTACGTTCCATAAAACCTCTTGTACCATGAATATTTAATCCGTCCGTATTGAAGCGACACAATGAACACTTTCTAGGTTCAAGGGCTGTTGGTTTCACCAGTTGATATTTTTCGCCTTTTGGGCTGTACCGTTTCATCTTCAGTTTTTTGGCAGTGTACTTCTCATGAAGGGTTTTGACCCTGTAAATGTGATCTTGTGCGAATTTTGCTGCCCATCTTCATTGGATTCATAAGTCTTTGAATGACACACCCAACAGAAGGTGGACTGAATTAGTGTAGAACGCTTTTTTGAATTAGCAGTGTAGTCTGTCCAAAGAAGCTCAGTGGTTACAAGGCTAACATACTTCCGGGAGTGTCTATGGCTTTGATATGGCCCAGCCTTTTGACTGGCTTTATATAGGTTCGGCCAAATGGCAGTATCTCAGCCCCGTTGCTTGCTTCGGGTAGCATGGTAGCTATGCACCTAAGGGGTATTCCAGTTGAACGAACAATATGCTTCCAATAATGTGGTACGTTACAGTTTTCTTTAGGTAAGCACTCTCATGAGTTGAGATGAATATTAATCGGAGGATATGTCATCAGGCTTGTGGCATTTAAAAACGAACCGAGTTGATCCCTTCAGTTTGACGGCGACGTCTTCTAAATCGAAACGAGCGCACGTTGCACAGCGGAAGATGGCATCTGTAAGAAGAGAAGATATTTGGTGAGATATTTACGTTGATTATCTGAATAACAACAGGTGAAGGTGGCAGCACTTTGGAAAAATGTGATTAAGTAACTGAGAGGGAAACATTTTGAGGGACCTGACCATCATTTTCCCGATCGAACAAAATTCCAAAGAAGCTACCAAAAATGAGAATTACGCTCGTTTGGCATAGTTCTGAGTGATACATTAGGTTAGGGAATTTACGGTGAACCAAGTGCGTAGGTTAAGGTTCCAAGCGTCTTAGGCTTCGCCTAAGACGCTCCCGGTAGTGGAATAACGTAAGCGCATTATTTGAATGTTTCCAACCACTTTTCTTTTTACGAGCATGCTGCAACTTCATGTGCTTTCCAGTGTACTGTTTTGTCCTCCTGAAAGCATAGATATCATTTTCTGCCAGACAGTTGGCTGAACCTGCTAGTGCAATATCTGAACTTTTGTTCGTACGGGGATGACCTTCAATTCCAGGAAGCTGACTAATTTACTTAGTAGTATACACAAGTCAAGTCACCGCATTTTGCCCTATATCCATAAATGTTTGTTCTATGTGGACGACTGATGAGGTAAAAGAGGTGTCAAAACCACATCAGTTGTGCCTTTTTACGATCATGCCACTAGATGGCGCACTGGCAGAAATTATCAGTGTAAGCCATCAGAATTGTTTGCGTTCAGTTAACCTTATGGATAATGAAAGCAGTCCCAGAGAATGTGATGAGATCTACCCTTTGCTGAGCACCACCTGGGGATGAACTACTTTTCTGTGCTTAGCTAACCGGCGTGCAACAGATTAGTACCGATTGCCTGTGAGTTTCATTCACAACTGGGCTGCGACTCGGAAGCGACTTATTTTCAAAGGTAGACGAGGAGATTCGTAGTTTGTTGAGAGTTTGCGTCACTCAGATGCCAGCTTTGAGTAGACTGAAACAACTTTAAACTCGTTTTGAGACTCGGAGGTCTACTTATAGCTATGTTGACTGAGGCATTGATAACTATATAAAGTAGGCAACATCGGGTACTTGTATGGCCGTGTAATCGGAATGATACCCAAGGTGGTGGTAGAATTTCTGTAGTGCCTATTTCGCAGTTTGCATAAACATACCAGTCTAGATTACACACTTTGCCAGTAACTGTATTGATGCAGTGTATCAATCCGATTGGGGTTAACTCCGTGGTATCAGGCTGTAAAATTAAACGCCTACGTTCGTTCTTAACGAGATTTGGTTTTGGAGTTTAACCATATGGCCGCTCAAAGTGGGTGTGACGCATGAGTGACAACGTAGCCAAATAGAGCAATAAACAACCTTGTATAAAGCAGACGAACTTCATACTTATCTGTAATCGAGGATATCGAACGTGGGAAATTATCCAGAAGACAGTGTTATTTAGGCCGGTTTCATGATCGTCCTGCCTGAAGAAGCTTACCGTATCCGTCCCCAAGTGACGTCTAAAAACACCAAGTAGTTCCTTATAGGTCCATACCCCTTTACTATCCGCATTAAAGGTGAAAACAGTTCAGGTGAATGAAAAGCTGTTCCCATTAGCCCGGGAGATTCAGTAGACTGCCTGCTGGAAAAACCTGCGGCCCAAATTTCAAACAGGGACACTTATGTGATGATGTTTTCGTTGATGGAAGTCACCCAGTATCATTCTGTCGGTAGCCTGATCGCACCCCTTCACAGGGCTACGCACGGATGGATTTAGCCGCCATCATCTAATCGTAACAGTGCTGTTCAAACTTAAAACTAGCGGCATAATGTTTTGTAGGGATTAAAA